CACGAAAAATCTATCCTCCGAGCGGCCAATTTAAAATACACGCTGACGTCATCTAGGACACGCGTCTTTTTCTTTTTTTCTTTTTCGAGGACGAAAATTTTTTTTGCGCGAACTCCTCGAAAACAATGTTTGGGAATAAAGAGACAAAAGAAACGATTAAAACGGCAGCCATGGAAGTTTCTAATGGAGACGGAGAATGGCTGCGTTCACCGAGTCGATAGAAAGTTTTTAATGAAATGAACGAATGGAGAGAGAGAGAGAGAGAGAGAGAAACGAAGAATTGGCCGACGATGTTGAAAATGAAACCACTGTCGCGCATGATTTTCCAATGTCACGTATGATCAAATATGAAAGTTCAATTAGCCAATCGACATGTACATACATTCGTGGCTTGCTGAAAATAATTTATCACATTTCACGAAATAAATTGAAATAAATCTCTTGATGAAATTTTGTCGTTGAACATAATAATCGTTCCAAATGTGTCTAAAATCCAATACTTAATCAAGGAACAAGAGATTCCAATTTTTTATTTTTCGTTTAATAAACGAAACGTTTCTCGTCGCGTTTCATTTTTTTCGAATTCGAAAAAATCAAACACGAAAAAAATTATTATAATTTTTTGCGATCTTATTAATTCCAAGTTAAATGTGAATCTAAGTTGAGAAATTAGTTATATCAATGACAGCGCGCTTATTTACTTGAAACGGATGCGTATGAACACGATAAACATGAATTATAGATATTCATAGTCATTTACGTCATCTAAGTATCATCCATTTCTCCGCGATTCCCTGGAATTGCATTTTCAAACGGACAATTTATACGTCAATTCGTTTCTTATATAATTCTTTAAACGTACGTTATTTCCTATATACAATTGGAAAATATCCACTCGCTGTTATCCTCGATCGTTTGAAATAAATACGATAATTACAAAAATTAAAAATAAATTTTATTATATCCTAAATTTTTATTTAAAAAAAAAAAATCTTCAACGCGAAAAGGATAAAATAAAAATCAAAAGTTTCGTAAATGTAAAAAAATCAGATCTAATCGACGCGCAAAGTTTGAAACGAAGTTTCTCTCGTATCAAAGTGAATCTAAGAATCTTGTATGCACATGATTATTCGATTAAAATCGAATAAAATAAAATGTTCTATTGAAAACAACTTGTATTCCATATTAATCTTATCTTGATAATTATTTTAATAATTATTCCAACATCATTGTCGGAGAAAGTTCATCGTTAAATTCTAAAACTAATTAAATTCTTTCACTCGTTTCGTTCCACGAAGAGAGATATATCTAGTCTCGAAACACCAGTTTCCAGCCTATTAACCTTATCTAGTCGCTATTATTATACATATATATATATATATATATGCTGAAATTACGAGATAAACTTGACAAGGTTAGGTTAGGTTTTAACGGAGATACACTTCCGTTTTTTTACGTTTTCGATCGATCGAGTGAATAAACAAGTGTACGTGTATGGGAGTGTACGTGCAATTAAATTTATCCAGAAACTTTCACGGAAGTGCGTGGCCGCGCGGATTTCCGCACTCTTTTATGAAACAATTCGAAATATGTATCAAACAACGATTTTTTGCGCGAGGTGTAATTTATCGTATCCGTTCCACGACAAAATACATGCCGACCTGTAATTTAAAATAAAAAAAAAAAAAAAATTAAATTGATAAGCAAAACTGATAATCAGTCTCTTATGTAAATTATTGTTCTTTGATCACTCGCTTACTTATGTAATTCCCTTTCATTTATTTCCGAAGAGGATATCCTTCGGCTATTGGACGCAAATCCTTCGAAATCCAAAATAGATTTTGTCACAGACAGATGATAAATGGAAATAAAAATATTTGATTAATGTTGCAAATGAATTTTTGTTTGATATAGCAGTTACGTGAAGAAATGATATATTTTATAAATATTATATACAATTAGTATTATCTAACGCCACTGATTGTGATTGTTAGGTATAATAATGCAGTATTATTCAATATACTTAGAATTATTTATTACTTTTATTTATTCATTTTTGAAATATTCGAATTATTATATTTTTCTACAAACCTTTTTAACTTTGACATTACACACAGGATGTTTAGATTCCAAGAGAAAATATTGGAATTTTGCAATGACAATTTGCGAAAATGTTTGTCGAGGCTAACTTCTTGTTAACTGGTAATACAGATTTTTTTTTTATGAAAAATACAGAATATCGAATTTCGAACATCGATCAACTGTACGTACATATGTAGCAATAGTATCTCAAAGGAATTTTTATAACGTATTGAAACGATTATTATTAGTATAATTTTGTAATTGCAAAGTAATTTTAATCGTTAAGCTTATCAAGTTCATTGAGTTTAAAAAAAAATTTTTTTTTCGCATATGTTATAATCACAGCATCTTAGACGGAAATAATATTATGAACTGATTCATAGATTCATGTCCTTGCGCATATTCTTACACCTTGGTCGAGACAATTGGCCTTGCTAGTGAAAAACACAAGCAATCGTAAATCCAATGTAATGTAACTTATTCAATCGATATGTTGGAGATGTTATTATGGAGAATTATATTAAACGCTTTTATGCTTAAACACTTGTTTATTTAATTAATTGATACAATTAAATTATTTGAATATTCATAAAAGAATCACAGATCAAAAATAATTGGAAAACAGTGATCTATGATAATGAAGTTTAAATTATATAACATACTGTGCTAAAAAAAAAATGCTAAGCAAACACTGATACTAAGATAAAAAATTAAAATTGCTAGTTACATATATTTCTATAAATATATAATTGCCTGGATAATTTCATTTAGTTGATTATTAAATTTTCTTCTTTTATGAATTATTTGCTATATTTTAATCGATAAGAATATTCGAATATATGTATATTTTTAAACAATGTCAATCGTAAATGATAACAAAATATTTAGAAATAATCATTTTATCGTATAATCTATAATATAATATAATCACTATTACCAATGAGATCATTATTGGTAGAATTTCATGTTCTGGAATTACGTATCATCTCTTTCAAATTGTAAATTGATATGTTAATTTCCCAATAAAGAATTATTTACAGCAATTGTTTGAGATTGAATATTTTATAATAAAGTGAAATTTTTACATCGCTAATGGATAAAATCGTGATTCGATATTTTTAATTCGGCTAAAGTTCTTCAATTTTTATTTTAAGAAAATTGAAGAATAAAAAAATTCAATAAAACTTTGAACATAAAATTAGAACGAAAAACTTCTTTTTTAAAAATGAATACAACAAACGATAAAACAATTGGTACATAACGATTTATAACCTAATTCTTTAACGTTCTTTCATTAAATAGCTCATAATTTCAATCAAATCTAAGAATTTAAAATTTTTAAATTTATTTCATTTTAAAAAAAATAGAAAGAAATAAAAAAAAATTCTGAATACTTACCGGTGGCGGTTCAGTAGAAGAATACACTTCGCTGGGCGCGTAATTACTATGAGGCGGATGTGCCATCTTTTCCGAGACAACTGCCACAGTTGCCAAAGAATCCGGTTGATCCTTTTCCATCTTCCTCTGTACGTAGTCTTTCTTCTTCCTAGAGCACTGATCGATTGATTGATTCTCGACTACGAGCGATATTTGGTACCCTCAATGTTTTGATATCTCGAAAATCCTCTCTCCTTTAATCGACAAGAACACTCGATGTCGATCGCTCGACGAATCGACGAGCAGTGAGCGGGCAGCGCCGTCTGACACCGCTAGCTTAGGGTTATCCCCACCATCTGTTAAAGAGTTACTGAACCTTTTGGTATATTACCTCTCCGATGGGTATGCCTTCTGGTACCGAGGTATACCGTGTTCTTGTGTCGGACTTTCTAAACAGCATAACGTATACATTCGCGTCCGTGGGCGAGACCGAGATGTGTGTATGTATACCGCTCATCTATTGAGGAAGGCGGTAGCCGGAGGAAAATGTGAAACGAGTTTTTTCGTATTTTTAGATAGTTGTTAGCATTTTGCGACTTGGTTTGGTGCTAAATAACGGTGAGATATGATATTTTGTTAAAACAGGTTAATCACTGCCTTTAAAGGAAATATAGGAAATATAAATAAGAAAAGCAATGATTGTATTATAGAATATTCTTTAAAATGATAATGGCTAAAACTGACAAAGTTTACATTGATTCACTACGAATAAATTCTTCGTATTGTTTTCGTTCATAAACAATGAATATTTGTGTAGAAGAACTGTGCGATACCGATTGCTCTGACAATAAGTTTTTTTGTTATATGTTTCGTAAATTACAATTGATAAAAATGTTGAAAACTAAAAATTGTCGTTTTGTACTGATTAATTATTCGATAAGTAAATTTTTAAATTCATTTAATTTTAATTATTTAATCTACAGTTAAAAATCTACAGTAAAAGATTTATTGAATAATAGTTGACAATTCATGCCAGAAGCACAAATATGCAAATTTTCTCTACGAATAAGGATAATATAAGCCAAATTTTATATTTTTATTCTTAATATCAAAAATTACAACGACAAAATAACGTTTTGCATTAAAACCTCCAATTCTGAAATAAATGTTGACATCGCAAAAATCATAATTTATAATATTTAAATTTTAATATTTAAATTATAATCAATAATTGCATATCTTGCCATTGATCATACAATCTCGAAGTATGTCATATGGAATTACTTATTTATTTGTTATTTCATATAATGTATTAATATCTGGTGGGAGAAGTGAAAACTAGCTTTGGTTCGTACTGTACGACTCTTCCCTATTTGGTAACTATATATATATATATGAATACGTTCAAATACATTCGTCATTCACGCATTCGTATCAGTATGCGTATATCTCTATGTAGAGATCAACGTTCGAACTCGAAGTTTTGCAATGTTTTTCTCGTCCCCTCCACTTCTTTCACCTGCTGCTCCTTCTTTACCTCCACCTCCACCTTCTGCTCGTATTCCGTTTCTCCTCCTGCGTCGGTAAAATTGCATCAATGTGACGGATGTACACACAAACGTATGTACGGACGAATCCTGGAACGAATGACAAGACTGTTTTTGAATGTGGAACTCTCACTGGCTTTTAAAAGAATACATGGTTATTTGGCGCATGCGCATGCGAGATGCATGCGAAGTAGCTCATTTCAGCAGGAGCGGCGTAATTGGAAAGGCGATTTTCGGGAAAGGCGATTAAATATTTTCTCCTTGGCGGAATGTAAATCGCGGTCGTGTAATAGCGGTGTAAATAACGGCGTTGCGAATGTGTTGTGACAAATAGAAATAAATATATTTTAGGATAAAACAAAACATAAAAGTGAAATTCTATTTTGCAGTTCATAATTTTTAAGAATAAATAGATTGCCATTTAATAATAAGTAACAAACTTAAAAATTATATCTAATGAACAAAATTTTTTAATAATAATTGATTAAATAATAATTGATTAAAAATTATTATTTTTATTAGCTTTATAATTATTATTGAATTAATTTTATAATTGTTATTTTAACGCAAGCATATATCAATTTTATTATCAATTCTAATTTATTAATTTATTATTATTTAATGCGAAAAAGAGAAATTATGTGAAAAATCACAATGTTATTCGATGTTCATTCATCGATCTATGAATCATAACATATCGCTTTAAAAATTTATACATCAATATCATTAGCTTAACTTTTTTCTATCAATTACACTTTTTCATTATTACTACTTAATAAATAATTATTACTACATTATTACTAATTAATTAATTTTGAAAAACGATTAATTATCTTCTAATTATATTAAATTACTATTATCTTTCTTTAAAAGTGAAAAGAAAATGAATAAAGAAGCTTTTCTTTTTTCAAATTAAAATTGATACAATGAACAAAAGCACATCACGACGCAACGCGTTATTACCTGTATACAGGAAATAACTGACCAGAAGAATCGAGGAAGTCGTATTGTAATATTCGTTAATGGTGGATAGTATATATGCGTGACAGTGAACGCAATGAAGGGCCATCGAATAAAATGATTGAAGGAAGCATTGAAAGCCTTTTGTTTATCGACACCCATTTAAGAGGTAAGCAATAAATACTTTCGAAATTTCACATCGTTAATTCTGTTCCTATCTCTATTGTGATTTAACAAAGAAACGTATTTCACTTCTTATATCGTCTGCAATAAACATAACCTACATAAGTCAAATATTTTATTTTTTTCCTTAAAATTCGATTATCTTAAGATTTGATTGTATAAAATTATTAAAATTAAATGTAATGTCATTTATAATAATTTATAATACTTATTTATTTTAAAATAATTACATTATTATAATTATTATAGTTATAGTTATAGAAATCAAAATAATTTTTTTTTCTTATTTCGAACAGGAAAAATTTACATTTATCATGAATTCAATATTAGTTATTTATCTATTTTACGTTATTAAAATACTAAAGTGTAAAAAAATGTTTGTTAGGATACATTCATAGATTCGAATACCCGCGTAACATAAATTTGAAACGCAAACGTATGGTGATATCTGTTTAACACGTTGTTATACTATAGACTATGCGTCAAGTTAAAGATAAAAATGAATGGTATGTGATATGAAATTAAATTATCATTTAACGTCAAAATTATGTGCATACGTATGAAAGATAAACATAGTTAATGAACGTAAAAAATACTAACATAATAAAGTTACGTCTTTTATATCTATTTTTCTCTTTATCATAATTTAATTTTAATTTTTGTACTATTTTAATAATTTTATTTTTTTTTCACCATAATATGCATAAATAATTATTACCAATTATTAATTTCAGACAGTATTCATGAACACATTTGTTATGCAATTGCTTACAACAACCAAAATAAAAAATAAATTTTTCTTTTCAATTTTGAAGATCGTTAATCAACGCACGAAAATTTACATCTTCTGTTTAACATCGTTTTCACATAATTGATACTTATGCAGATCATCCGTACACTGTGAACGACGAATTGCATCATGTATCCTTTATATTTCTTCTTTTCATTTTTTAACGACGCATTTACCTTATTTCACTAAGTGAATACATTGAGTATTTTACACAACGATATATCTTTCGTGTAAATATAAACCAGCGTTTCTCAACTTGTTTGATATGTGGCTCATATTTGTTTATAATGCATTGTGTATAAAATATATAAAATTTTTAACTATTACGATGCCATTATTGTGTATTAAATAAATAAATATTTGGATTTATTTTACGATTAACAATTAAAACAGTCGAGTGACTCGAATATTTTATCAATATTGATTAATTCAATGTGATTACTTCGTATATATAAAGTGTTAATATATAAGTATAAAATATCTTTGAGAATTAATATTTAATGAAATTAAAACAAGCATAAAAGTTAGTAAAAATATCGAAAATTTTAAAATCAATCATCTAAGTCATATAACACATTAACACGTTACATAAAAACAAATCATCGTAATTCTTAATGATCTCTCTCGAGAAATTCGATTGTTTAAATTATCAGATGTTGCATTTTTCATTTTTTTTTCTCCATTATTTCTTTTTTTTCTGAATAAATAACATGATCGATGTTTTTATGCACGTTTCGTGTTTTCTTGGAAATATCTAATAGTAAATATCGATTATTGCCAGACGGAAAATTTTCTTGGCTCAACGTAGTGCCAACACCTCTATTCTTTATACTATAAAAAGACAAAATGTGATGCGTTTAAAAAATTATTTTATAATAGATCGATTTACATAAAAGATTAATTCGTTTTTTTTTCAGAATGATATCTTGTTTTTGGAAGTTCTGTACAACAATATAAAAAATAACTTTATTGGAATTTCTTCCTTACTTTTTAATCTTTGATGATTTTCTTCTGATTTCTAAAGATAAAGAAAAAAAATTCAAAAGAAGAGCATTTTGTACAGCTTCTCAAGGAGATTACTCTGAACGTGACCACAATGATACTGTGCAATGAAGTACGTAGTAATTTTACCACAGAGTTCGCTAACTTTATTCTCAGACCTTGTATTATATCAACAGCATGCGCGCATTTTAATATTTTCTGTCTTTTATCGTTTTACATTTGACATTAATAATGCATAAATGTTTGTTATGTTAATGAACAGATAAAATGGTCTCTCTCGGTTACCATATATGAATACACTTGAAGAAAACTTTCAAGGAAAGTCGAAACGAATTATTTCGATGTTAAAAATCTATATCGGCACAATGTGACATGGATAAAAAGGGATAAGAAATACTTGAATATAGTTGTTACCAACGAGAATTCGAAAGTGTCGCTAAGCATCTTTTTATTGACAATTGCGTAATAGGAAATATGGTAACAAATGAAATCTCTAACTTCCGTAATCGAACAATTTCTCTTATTGACTCTTATTGATAAAAATAAATAAAGATGTCCAATCTTTTTTATTTTAGTTAAAAAAAACTAAAAAACTTGTATCAGATTACATCAGTGTTTCTTAATCTATGGATCACAGAGATGTAAATTTTTCATCGATATTTTTATATTTTCATATATTCATATTTTTTATCAGTTGCATTCATTCTATCGTTGATGTTAAAAATAATTATTCAAAAATGCTAAAACGTATGCGATAATCTTTACACTTTCTTCTTTTTCTCGCTTAAAACGATCATATATAATTTATATAATGTTTTATAAAATATACTAAAATTATATAATATAAATATAATAATGATCTTAATAAATTTATGTTATTTTATCGTTTAAATTCGAAACATCATGACTGTTTATATATACAGAAGGACTGAAAAATTTTTTAGATATTCAATCAAATAATATATATTATTCTAATCTAATATATTAATTTAATATATTATTTCATATATTAGACTGATCATATTTCAAACATTTAATGAAATAGATAAATACATATTCCTAATAATAATTTATAAAAGCATGTTTCTATAAAAAAAAACTATTATGCTTTCACTCCATTTCCCGACATGCTATCCACGCTTATACTACTTTAGAACTGGTTAAACCGTTTAGAAATAAAAAGATGAGCAAGAATTATAAATGATCGTAACAACATGTTCACGGATGATTCGTGGAGAAAGTGGGAAACGCAGATACACCCGCGGATAATTTTACGACTGTTGAATATTTTAGTCGATTCTTGATTTCAAAGTATAAAGATAAATTTCAAAATACATTTGAACGTCTCAGAAGACGATCAACTGTATTTTTCTTTAAATTTTTTAATTTTATTATGTCAGCATACAATTAACGTTCAATTTCTAAAGAAAAAAAAAATAATAATAATAATTAACTCGCATTAATTTGTAATTTTGCAAAAAAAAAAAAAAGAATCGCCACAAATATAATTTTCGTAATACTATATGTGTAATCGAGAACAGAGCGTCAATGTGGTGTATTCTTTCTGTGTGACCCGATTCCAACTGATTCGAACATGTGAATGAAACTTTCTCCGGTTAAATTGTCGTATGAAAATATGAAAATACTACCATATTACATAGAAATCATGCCTTTTTCTTGAAATTGCAATTATTTGATATAAACAAAGAATCTCATTATAAAGAAAACGACTAATTC